TCCCCTTAGTCCCCTTAGCTAGTCACCTTAGTCACCTTAGTCCCCTTTATCTAGTCACCTTAGTCCCCTTTATCTAGTCACCTTAGCCCCCTTTATCTAGTCACCTTAGTCCCCTTTATCTAGTCACCTTAGTCCCCTTAGTCCCTTATTTCAATTTGAAATCAAGTGCTCTTTTTTCTGTTTAAATTCAGATTGAAATTAAATAACCCATAGTATGGCAATTTCAGTTAGGAACTTTCCTCGTAAGCATATTCTTGAAAACTTTAATATCGTGCATCTCTTTTGTGATATTTATTTATTTGATTTATCTTTCTTGGAATGATCATTCTAATATTTTTGATTTTATTAATAGCTGATTCATTAGAAACAATAAAAGTTGAAGATCTTAATAAAGTAATAAAGCAGTATATGTATGATATAAATCAAATTATAATCCCTAATTATTTAAAAAATAAAAATGAAAAATTAATTTATATATTTAATTTTATTCTTCAATTTTTTCATAATAAATTAAAAATAATTGAACAATATAAAAAAAATATATTTAATGAATTAGAACAATTTCAAATAAAATCAATTGATAATAATGAAAATTTTTATTTTCAACAAATAATTTTTATTAAAAATGAAATAAAAATAAATAATTATAAGAAATTATTAAAATTTATTAAAAAATTTAAAATTTTATTATATAAATTAGAAATAATTAATGAAAAAAATTTACAATATAATTTTCTTTATTCAAAATTTGATCGATTATATGAAATATTAATAAATAATTATCAAATTAATCTTCCTATTAAAACAAATATTCAATTCATACGTGATACATTACACAGTAATAAAAAAAAACTTAAGAAAGAAATACGAGAATTTGATATAACAAGAAATGAATTATTACGAAAACTTGATGTTTTAAAAAAGAAAGAAGAATTAAAACAACGTAGTATATTAACTTCAATTACTGAAGTAAATATTTTGATTATATCTTTCAGATATTATTCTAAATTAAATGTAGAAGAAAAAAAAATACTATTATCGCTTTTGTACATATAATATGTTCATCATTCAATTTCATAAATATTTTATCGATTATAATAGCGACTATTTTAAAAATAGAATAAACACAACTGAAATTTTTGCATTTCATTTGTAATCTTCTGAACAGCTATGATTCTATTGCTGATGATCGATGTACGAACTAACTTATCAATCTAGTCTCGTCCTAAATACTATTATTAAATGTAGAAAACTAAAAAAAAAAAGTATCTCGTATTCTCTTGACGACTGTCCAATTTCGATTAGAAAATTTCATTGAGAGTATCAAAGTACAATTCGACTGGGTCCGAGTTCGAAAATTTTGAATCCAATTGACTCTAGCTGGAGGTTCACGTTTTTGTGGATCCGGACACGAGACAACCAGATTTGAACTCGGGCAGATCTATACTCGAGCGTTTTTTCACCAATATTTGGCGTTCTCTGTGTGTATGGCCAAATGAAGGATGAAAATTTTACCTCTTAGACAACAATCAATGAAAGTTTTTGGAGTAAAAAAACTTGACTTCACCAGACTGAGCAAAAACTAAAAATCCAACCCAACTGGGTCTAGAGAGATCTGCAGCTCTCTACTTGTGAGCCTATTTGAAATCTGTATAACTCAGATATTTTCTATCACTAAAGATAGTTGTTAATCAAGTTCTCGAATGAGAGCAAAGATAAATATTTATTGATTAGAAATATATTTAGATAAAAACACAATTATCTTTTACTCTATCGATTCTTAGTTTAATACTTTCAACAAAAATTTATTAAATTCGATTCATTCACATTATTTCTTATGCAATATCAATGTTTCACGGTTTCTGATCTTTTTTATTCTAGGAAGATCGATTGAGTTCATTAAGTGCGTACATTCAACAATCAGAAATTGAACCATTAAATATACATCATGAATTTTATGCAATAAAAATTCAACAAATCACTAATGATCTAGTTTCTATGTTTCATAACAAGACTCCTGAATCAAGTTTATCTAATATGAATTCATTTAGCAAAACATTCGATCATTTGAAAACTTATGAACAAATCCTAAATAAACAAAAGATTAACAATGAAAACCAATTAAAACATATTGAAGATGAAATTTCTATAGCACGAAAATATTCATTATTTGATAGTCTTGCTCGCGAACAAATGGACAATCTAATAAGACAACAAAATGAATTTACATATCATAAAGAATTAATTGTTAAAATGCAAACAATTCTAAATGAAATAATTAATCAATTTTATTCATTATTTATTTCTAATTTTGAACAAGATAAAAACCAAGAACTATTTAAACAAATCAAACAGAGAGGTTTATATACAGTGATTCTCAAACTTATTCGACCTAGTTTCATTTCAATCTTTGTCCGCTGTTGTCAATGCTAAGAATTCGAGCAAACAATTCTCTACACAATCTCAAACATCTTCCAGCTGTCTAAGATGTTTTTTAATCGAGATACATCATAGAGAGCTTGAAGACATTTCATTTTGTTGAGAACTATTTGTTTTATCGTTTCGGATAATTCAAATAGAATTTCAGGATATGAAAAACTTGGATATTGATTTTGCAGAGACCTTATCTTCGGAAAGCTGAAGAATCTATAGGAAATTCAATTTATTCCATTTTGACTTCTATTTTTTTTACCTTTGTAGTCCCTTTAATTCTATTGAGTGCAGATTGGATGGGTGTGTTTCCTTCATCCACACTCAAAATATTCTTACATCTTTAAGAGGTGTGTGTGTAAATATGAAAGTACAACAGAATAAATTTAGTTTCTCGTAGATCTATTGTTGTTAGCATTTACAGTAATGAAAAAAAAGTTGAAAATAAATCTGGTCGAATAATTTTTCGTAGTCAATTTCTATTGTTTAGCTATAGATACAATTATTCAATCTGTTCAATATGAACGTTTATCTAAGCGTATATCTCCTCATTTACTTGTATTACATAAACTAACTTCTGAACAAGAATTAATACAACCTTCAATAATACCATGTCCAGTAAAATTATATCAATTAGAAATAAAAACATCCGTACAACAAGAATCTCCATATGAAATGTTTCATTTTCAATATCAATCAACAATAAATTTTCAAAAAGATTTTATTCAACAAATTTCATCATTAGATTCTATAGATTTAAAAAATCAAATTTTACAAATTGAAATTAATTATTTACAAAAACAATATGATGAATCGATTGCTATCGGTGATTTTACTCGACAATTAGCTACTGAACAAATTATTTCAAATAAATTACAATTTATTGAATCTTTTCAAGAAAAAGAAAAATCACAAAAAATCAATGAAATAGAAATTCAAATTCCTTCAATAATTAATAATCAACAATTAAATGAACATAAAAAATCTAAAACTTCAATAAAAATATCAAAAATCAATGAAAAATCTCTTGATACAAATCAAGTTAATGAACAAATCCATGAACTTTTAAAAAATTATGATAAAATTTTACAAAAACATATTCAAAATGATCAAGCAAAACTTTTTCAAACACAAATTAATATTGATCAAATAAAAAATCAAACAGAGAAATTATCTTCTACTTATTTAGAACAAGCTCAAAATGAAATTGTTGATCAACAAATGATTGATTCTATTGAAGATCTTCATCAATTAAGTATATTTCTAAGAAATAAATAAATAAATAAAATAAAACAAAAATTTCTCTCCTATTTCATATTAATTTAGAAAAATCTCTTGAAAAATATCATCAAGAAAATAATCGTCAAAAACAAATTGATATACAATTTCAAATCTTAGATAAAATTGATCAATTAGATAATCAATCAATTGTTCATAAAACAATAGAAAATCTTCGTAAACATCTTTATAAAGAACAACAAGGTTTATTAATTCTTTCATCAAATAAACAAACATATAATGATACTCATTTTCAAATTTTACCAATCTCAACTCATCTATCAGAATCATCAATAATGACTATTGCTGAAGAAAAAAAAATTAAAAATATTTCCAAACAAATAACAATCGAACCTGCTATCAGTAAACTTATACCATCAATTGATTCAGTCGAACAAACTAAAGTCTCATTAGTAACTACTAATGCGAAAGAATTATATCAAGAATTAGAAAAAATTAAATATTCAATTGAAACAGCTTTTGAAAGTATTCAACAAACATCAGATATTGTAGATGATAAAATTCCACCAGTAAGTTTATAGAAAAAGAAAATTGTTTTAGATATAATTTGATATTTCTAGAAAATTCCACTACCAATGAAAAGAGGTATAACAATTGAACATGATGAAGAATATAATACAATTGAAACTATTCATAAAATTCGTGTACCTAATCAAAGTCGTTTACAATCAAATTCTGTTGCAGCCATGAATAGTTCTTTAATTCCAATAAATGATATACTTGATTCAAATAGTATATCTTCTTCTAAAATAATTGATATTCAAAATGATCCTAAATATCTCTCATCACCATTAACAATAGTCGGAAATGTTGAGAAATATTCAGTTATCGAAAGAAAATCTAAACATCGGCAAATTGCTACTTCAACACAACGATCTATTTCTCAATCGAAACGAAAATATGGAGAAGTTTATGTTCGACATCGAGTAAATTTTTGCATATTCAATATTTGATTAACCTCTCTTCTCCATTTCAAAATCCGTTTTCAATCAGGAATATTCAAATCACATGAAATTTTTCGCTCAATACCATCATATTTTCATGAAATATTCGTCAAACAAAGGTTAAAAATAGTTACTCGCGCAAACCCAAAATTCTCTGTGGGTGTTCATTACCAGTGTGTTACGCAGTGTAGGGGTCAAGGGAGCTGCGTTCCTTTGAAGATCGGATTGGCTCTCCTAAGATCTGCGATTACTGTGCCACGTATTATATGTCAGTGCTCCCAAAGATAGATATTCACTCTCCGAACGTTTCAGATCGTCTCTTCGCAGGAGCAAATCTGTATAAAACACTTCATTATTTAATCATTTTTCGAGGTTCTTTTGCATCTGTAGCTCTCAACAAAAGAATAAGACTTCAAAAAAAGAACTTCCTTATGTCTTGCATCCAGACATGCTCTTTCAAACAAAAGGAAAATAAAATATATAGAACGAAGGCCCACAGAGAATTTCGGGTTGTCCAATTAAATATTTCAGATCTTTTTTTGAAGTCTACAGGGTTTTTCATTTCAAACTGAATTTTAGAAAAAACCAACGGAGATCCAGAGGGTTTAAAAAAATCGTTTTTTTAGCAACAAAAGGCTGTGGCAGAGGCTCTTACTATATATAAAATACATCAGGCATTCCACTCATCCTGATTCAACGACATCCTTATTTATCTAATGAGGTGTTTCGAGTAAGTCATTACTCGATATACATATACAGACGCTTCATATCATCTATTTTCTCGATGGTGCTCGGGACTAGAAGGCCAAGGAAGTTTTAGAATTATTTATACATATATATATATGTGTATATAGACTCGTAAAAACCCTAAAGTTCACCATTCCTATTTGAAATAAAGTGTTTTTTTTAATCTAAATTCAAATTGAAGTCAAATAATCCATTTTATGCATGTTTGGTGAATATCTCATGAAAACATAATGTTATCGAGTTGAAAATTTCATCATAACTCTTCCGCTATAACTTCAATGTATTCAAAAAGCTTTATGAGATATGAAGGGAAAGAATTTAAACACATTTTAATTATTGATAGTTTATTGATGTTAATTCACCAATATCAAACATTGATGAACAACGAAAAACAAATGAAGAAAAATTTCGTGAAAAAATCAAACGAAAAACACGTTTAGTCCAATTGGAAAAAACAAAACAAGGTAATACTGTTATTCATCGTCAAGTAGATTTATCAAAACGTGTTTTACTTATTCCACAACGAGCAATATATGAAGAAAATCTTGAACCAATACCACCATTAATTAATATGAAAGATACAACTAATTTTACATTCAATCAAACAAACACTTCTCCATTAAAATCTAGACAATCGTTACCATTAATATCGATATCTGATGTCAATACGATTGATTATCATAATCAAAAATTTGAAATGAAACTACCACCTTATTCTACAACTATTCTTTCTCCTGTTGAAGAAGTGCCAGAAGAAATTGAGATATCTGAAGACATACCATTTACTACAATGGATAAAGATTCATTAACAAAATATCAATCAGTTGATACAACAAATAAAATTACTGAATTAGTGACTTTTGATAATAATAAAATATTAAATTCTCTTCAAGAAATACCTTTAAACTTATCGACTACGATTCCATCTGTAGAAGAAACATCACAACAAAAAATCGATGAAAATAAACGAGTAACATTATGAATTTTGTATAAAATTAAAATATTTTTCTTTTTACGTCAAGGTCACAGTATCTTATTCTTCTTTACCTGATGATCTTTCATCAATATTGAATATTTCTCAAAGAAAAAGTTCAATAATATCTCAACAATCAAAAGAACAAAAAATTCTTAACAAGAGATCATCAAAAAAAAAACATCAATCAGTCATTATCAAACAAATCGAAGATGTTGAACTAGTTCCAACAACAAATGATGAATCTCTTTCTCTTCAAGCTTTTAATATCGAACAAGAAAATCAAGAAATTCAACCTTCTATTTCAATTACATCTGAAAGTAAAGTCATCTATCATAAAGTTGGTGGTAAAATGAAGAAGAAAAAGAAGAAAAAGAAAAAATCAAAAAAAATCAAACAAACAAATACGCATGATAATAGAATAAAAAAGAAAGAGAAGAAAATCGAAATAAAATCTCAAGAAGAATCATCAATCATTATTCCACGTAAAGCCGTTCCATTTATTTCTACTACTCAAGATAAACAAATTGATGTTGAAGATGATCCTATAATAAAATATAAAAAGAAGAAACGAAAACGTTCATGTAAGCTTCTTTTAACAGTTAAATAATTTTTAGATTTCATTAATTTCCATTGTCAAGTAACGGAGGTAGGCCGAAAATTTTTAGAGAAAATATTCTTTCATTTTTTCGATCGATTAAGATGATCAGCAGAATTTTAAATACATCAGGTTAGAATGAGAATGTTCTGCTCTTTACGATTTCAGACTCATAGATTAAGAGCTTATGAGTAAACTTTTGAAAATCTTGAAAACAAAGTTTGAACAAGTTTAATTGCATAATGAAATGTTCAGAGTTAAAATAAAATATATTCCAAATACATCAATCGAATCAGCAAGTACAAATTGACATTTTAATCATGAGTATTCTGTAAGATTTCTATCAGCAATGATAGTTTTGGTAAGGAAGATAATGACATTTTTGCGATTCCTTGATTTTCAGACTTACGAAATGAACGCGGTCATGTCTGGTGGATAGCGATGAGACTCTCAGTTCTTTGATCTCTTTGAAGACGATAATCTCAACTCGTACATAGCACAAAAAACCGAATGTATTCAAAGACATCGTTCCCTAGAAGGTCATCTAATATATCGGTGTTGTTCCAAAAAAATTCAAAACATAATGTAGTCAAGTAAAAAGAAGTGGGCTTATGCGGGAAATGGATGCATTTACGATAGAAACAAGAAATTAATGAGAACCATGACTGAAAAACAGTGTGAAATCAATTTCAAACAAGAAATAATCGCATTCTCAAGATCAGCTAGTGAAGCTGTGTCTCCGTTCTAGCTTTATCTTCAGGCCTTTTAAAGTTCACTCATAACCTCTAACCTATAAGTCCGAAAAAAATTCTGAACCTCGATTCGAAAACAGTACAAAATTTTCATTATCGCTCAAGATTTTATAAATTTTACTGGCATTGTTAATCCGTCGAAAAATGAAAGTTCCAAAACTTCATCAATAAGACTTTCGACCCATCCGCTATATTTTATTTTATTTTTTGTTTTTTTTTGTCACAAATACAAGATATAAAATATTTCTGTCTATCTATAATTAATTCTTCGATTTTTCAGCTAAATCAACTCGTAAATATTCCCGATCTCGATCATCAAGTAAAAGTAAATTAACAACGAGAAAGAAAAACAAAAGTAAACATCGATTAAAAAGAAAATTAAATGAAGAAGAAAAATCAGAAAATATTCAAATCGAATCAAAATCTATTAAAAATAAAGATGCTATTACAATGCATTTACTTAATGTAAAACGTTTTACAGTTCCACCTATATCTATTATTACTTTTGATCAAACACATCATAAATATAATGATATAAATGAAATAAAAAATGAAAAATTTGAACAATCACGTTTACATTTACTTAAACCAATGATAAAAAATTTTGAACTTGATAAAAATTTTCAAAAATGTTATAAAGAAATTCATAATATTGATGCATATGATCTTGATAAAGAATTATTTGATTTTAATAATGATACAAAAGAAATTGATCAACCAGCTATGTTTACAGAATATATTCGTAAGTGATTTTCAATCGAGAAGAAAATCAAAAAATAACTCTTGTTTTATTAAATTATTTGATTTTTTTATATCTAGCTGAATTTTTTCAAAAACAAGCAGAAGAAAAACAAATTCGTCGTATTTCATTAACAGCAATTAAAACAGATGAAAATTTTATCAAACGTCTTGCTCCAAGAATATCAAATTTATATAATGGTTGGCAACCAAGTGATACAAGTAAGAAAAATAAAACTAATCATAGAAATGTCTCAACTGATTTCAAGCTATTGAATTTATCTTTTGTCTATAAGTAGGTCTTAGGAAAACTAAGAAAATCTTTAAAAACGTTACCATTTGTTTCCGAGATATGGCTAACATTATAACGAAAAACAAAAGATGCTGTATTCTTCAAATTATCATTCACATATGATTTTAATAATACTATTTTGATCTTATGTTACTTTTTGTCACTTCTACATAGATTATTAATGCCGTCCCATTGTCGTTACTTTCATGTCTGACTTAAATATTGTATGATTTCTTTTATTGCAATAAAGATTTAAAAATTTGATAACTCAAAAACTGATAAAATTATTTATTTGCCATAGTTTCAGTCTGACGTTATTCGAATAATCAATGAACGATAATTTGGAAAGAATATCATATTTTTTTTGTCGTCATCATGTTAACCATATCTCGAGAACAAACAATCAAAAGTACAAAAACTTTAGAGTTTTCCTAGTTCTACTAACAAGGAAAGTCTTTCAACTGATTAATCGCTCTTGAGTCGAGACTATATGCATTATGTAGAATGAAATGAGCTATGAGTACCCTAAAAACAGTTCAAATCCTTAGCTGACTACTGTCGAGATACTGCACGTTTACGGTATTTTTTAAATGAATGTCGTGGTTCCTCTCAGAAACATCAGGAAAACTGATTTTCGAATATTGACTTGAAATTTTCACTATCAACTACTCTTGTTAAGGCCTGTTTTTGTACAAAGTTTCAAGTCGAAATTCGAAAGTCGGTTTTCCTTGTGTTCCTGAAGATGACCGACTGCATTCATTTAGAAAATACCGTTAAAATGCAGTAGCTAAGGATCGTTTTCAGGATATTCAAAACTCATTTGAGGCTAGATTAAAGGACATTGCTTGTATGAAGAAAACGATGAATATTAAAATTTAAAAATTTTTTTGCTTAAAATAATTTTCTCTTAATAACATATGACCTTTGCTATTTTTTGTTTTTTCTATTACGATAAAAACAATTTAAAAAAGATACGATAAAAAAAACTGTAAGATTTCTGAGTATATGAAACTATCGATTTTTATTATACATTTAAATTTATTAATAAATTTATTTTAGTTTGTGCACATACGGATGAATTTCGTCCATTAAATAAATATTTTATGTCAGATATATCATATTACTTTGATGATAATTTTATAGATGAATCAGGTTTATTTCAAAATGAAAGAAATTTAGATATGTATGTATTCTATTTGAAGAATTTTATAATAGAATATTTATATTTATTATAGAATTGAATCTCGAATTAAACAAACAACTCAACGTTTTCGTGATGATTATATTGTTAAAGAATTTTTTAATTGTTGGAAAGATTATACTGTAAAACAAGCTCGTATTGTTGAATTAAGACGAAAACGTGTTACAATTGATTTTCGTGAATTTTGGTTTCAAGATGCTTTTTCTGATCCATTCTATTCATATTTTGAACAACCATTAGATTATATTAAAAAACAAGATAATTATCATCAAATGGCATATCGTTTACATAAACGTCTTGTACGTACAGGTCGTGAACAACCAAAAGATACAATGAAAAATATAAATCGTTCTTCATTTTTACCTATACTTTTTAATTTACCAAAAAATAATCTCGATCGACAAGTATCTCTTAATCGACGTCGTCAATTGATTAATTATGATAATAATAATAATAATAATAATGAAAATTATCTTATACCTTTATCAAATTTAATAACACATCATGATGAAATTTTATCATTAATACGTGAACGTATTAATTTTTTAAATCGTACTAAAACTTATATTAATATACATCGTGATGAATTAGTTATTAAAGAACTTTTATTAAAAAGTTCATTATTACAACAAGGTACAATTAAAGATTTAGATAAATTAATTATTGATTATTATTCATCTAATGAACAACAAGATATAAAAATTTTATCGAAATCATCTAGTAATATTGTTAAATTACCTATGTTGAAATCATCACCATCACTTATCTCTAAATCAAATTCAAAATTATCTCGTCAAACAATGACTATTTCACAATAGATAATCTATAAACAATTTTGTTTTTTTTCATTATTCTAATTAAACATTAAATTTTATCAGTATTTATTTCATAGTTTAGTTCAATACAAAAAAAAAAGTCGAACATTTTTCTTTTATATTTTAGTTTAATTTTATAGTTTCGAGCTGAATTTTAGCATTGATTTTCGATTGTTCGTAAAACACTAAGTATAACAATACTGGGACAATTTTGAACATTTTGTTTAATGATGCATGTCATGGAACATTCAAATAATCATATGGATAGAATGTTTTGAGTATTGCCTTGCATTTAGCATTGCTGAGTTCTTCATGTAAAATTAGTTGATATGAAGTATCATTCATTTAGAATTCAGATAAACTTTTGTAATATTACTCAGGTAAATTTAAATCGATAAAATTTTTGTTCTAAAAATTCATAGTTGACTAAGTAATATTAATTCTTTGGACTAGATGTGATAAGCGAAAAAGAATGGACGTATTCAGAGATGTGCGGTGGTCAGTAAACTGAAACTGCACATCTCTAGACGTCTTTCTTTTTGCAACATTTTGATTATTCGAAACAGAAAGAGCTTTTAATGTTTCGTATTTGTAATATCACTCGTTGAAATTTTTTATTTTTTACTTCTATAAAATTCTGTTGCATGTGACTTTTAAGACAATTGAATGTACTATATTTTAGGGGAAAAAAAATCAATTGAAAACTATAAAAGCGAATGTTTTTTTTTGCGAATAGAGCTTTTTTTATAAGAGCTACCAAAAATTAGCAGAACAATATTTTTAGAAACAAAAAAAAAGTATCAAAACTGGCCATGTTCAACGGTATCAGAGGTCCATGACCCATACTCTCAGCACTGTTTTGAAATGAGGAATAACCATTATCGTTAGGAAAATTTTGCATACAAAGAATAACCGCAGCGCGAGTTTTTCTGCTAGGAATTTCGAGAGTTGTGTTTCATAAAATTTCTAACTCAGAACGCAGAGCTCTCATTTATATGGCATTTAACAGACGATATTTCGAAGCTACATTAGCGATAAAAAACCAAAAATCGAAAAATTTTTGATTTTAACATCCGGAAAGGAGGGGATGTCGTTAAGGAAGTATTGAGATCACCATTTATTCTAGAGCATCGGTTACTTTTAAAAGTTCGAATAAATTCAAGATTTTATTATGATCTTCTGTTATATTTGAATATATTTATACAAATACACAAAAACAAAAAAACGCATTATTTATCAATTAATGTTCCTCTAATATTAGCACGTTTAGCTTCTTGTTCACGTCGTGCAGCCTAAAATATATAAACAAATATAATTTATCGATCGTTTTTTTGTTTGTTAAGTTTTACATACCTCTTCAATTGCTTTTCGTTTATTCATTCCTTTACGTTCAAGTTGTTTTTCAATAACACGTGCATTTTGTGTATATGAATTAGCAATTTCTCGTGCTTCTAATTCTTCTTCTTCTTCATCTAATGTTGATACAGTTACAGATGATGTTTTTCCACGATCTTCACGTTTAATATTTTTAATAACTTTTTTCGATTCAGAACCAAGTACTTGATTATATATATTTGATGCATCATTTGCTTCAATTGATAATGCACCATCAAAAATAAATGTTATTGGACTATTTTGTGTATGTTGATAAAATAATGAAAGACCACATCTAAAAATAATATCGAATTAAGTTTTTTGTTTTTTTGTTTATTTGTTTGTTTTATATTTACTTTAAACATTTTTTTCGATATTGTGTTTCAATACCTTCATCTCTATAATAGAAAAAAAAAAATAAATATAATATATAAAATAAATTAATAATATTAAATAAATATACTTTCGTCGAATATAAGCTGGTGTATCTTCATCTTTACAAAATTTTTTATGTGCATGTTGTTTTGAATCAATAACACGTGCTCGATCACGTTTTCTTAACGGTAAATAGTCTAATGCACAATCTAGAAATAGAATTTTTATTATATAGAGAAAATCGAATATGAAATTTATTTTCTTTACCTAAAATTAATGCCATTTGTCCGCATAAACAATAAAAAATATGTGGTGGATTTTCATAAACTTCTTCTTGATCATCATCAAGAATAACACGTTTTTTATCATTTGTATTATCATCCATTTGTTTTATTTAATTAATCTAAAATTTAAATTAATAATTTTTTTTTTTTACATTAAATATTTGTTTTCAATTGAATCAATTTCCTTGTATTAAAGAAAATTTTCTCAAAAGATATACTACTGTCTATTAGATCTGCCTAATCCGTAGAACCCGTCGAATTGGTCCTAGATCTGGGTTTGAAAATTTGTAACTCGACTTCTACTTTATTAGAACTCGGCCCGCCTCACCCCAGTCAATATAAAATGGCATATTTCTTTTCTAAAAACGATTTCTACACGATGGAACTCTATAATCATTTATGTGAACATTGTAAAAAGTTGAGTATCATAGTGATCATAAGTTCAATGAGGTGGGACAATTTTCATGCTTGAAAAAAACAGCATGAGAGATCAGTCAAATTACTTATTCAACTGAAAGATCAAGATGCGTAGGTAGATACTCTAACTTCTTGAAGAGTATCACTTATTAACATAAGCTTTCACGAATAAGACGCCTGCTGAGTAATTTCAAAGAGTTAAATCGGTTATAATTTGTAGCTATACTATTAATTTTAGTATATATCTTACGCTGTTCCACTTTAGTAACAATCATGCTATTAAGTGTAATTGATAATGCACTCGGCCTTGTTTGTAGATAAGAAATATCATGGAATCGAGTAAATGCTCTGCTTTTATGTATTGGCTAAATGAAACTTTTAAAACGTTCACATAATAAAAATTCCTAATTGTTACTAGTTGCAAGATGCAAAACCCATGTAAGAAATTTTGACGAAAAATCAAATGAAATCTATCTTCAAAGTTGAAAAATTAGATCTTTTTTTTTTCTATTTTCTTACATAGGAAATCTTCCTTGAGAAAAGAAATAAAGTTCAGATTAGGCAATCAATTTCGAGTTCTGCTGTGTATTATTCATATTGAAATAAAGTGATAATATTCATGTTTAGGAAACAATCACTGTCTTTGTATATCTTCGAAAATACAACAATATTTTTAAAGTCAAAAGTTATTTCAGAATTTTTTATTAATGAAGTGGAAAAGATTAAGTCTCCTGCCCCTCCCGTACCCTCTAAACAGTTCATTTCAATGCATGAGAGGATAGCTTCAGGTCAAATTTTTTATCAATAATATGTTTTTTTATTTATTTGGTATGTTGTTTTTGTTTCCAAAAAATATTCAATGATTTCCGTCACTTTCTACTTGATGCTGTTTTTTTAGAAAAAGCCGGAAATCTTTTTCGATTTTTTCTATTTATATTTTTCTGATCGTACATTCCAAAATTTTCGAAAGAACTTAATTTGTAGCTGAACATGTAAACTTACAGTGCTTGGCAAAGCTCATTATTTTTCGAGATAGTAAACTGGTCATGCTCTTTTCTCTGTATATAAAAATTAAGAATTTAAAAAAAAAGGCAATGCAGTCTGACATGCTCTTTCAAATAGAAAGAACTAAACACATCAAATGAGGTCCAAAAAAGACTTTCGGGATGTTAAAAGAGCTACCTTTGACTCCATCTCTCGTAAAGACCATGTTATAGAGCTAAAAATTTCATACAATACGAATATATCTGGTCCATAATCAATTGTTTAATAGTGCCTTAACAATTTAACTACAATTGACATAATATTATGTCAAATCAATCTTCAGAGAAAATTAGAGCTTACAATTCTTTAACCTTGCTTTGTTCATAACACTTTATATCAATTCTACCATATTCTATTGGCTGTGATCCTCACTATTGGTTCTAACATTTCACATCATTTATTCTGTTCTTCGTCATGAATACCTTTTTTTTCTCTATATTCAATATAACTTCTCTTCCTGTACATCGTTCTTTAACAGGCAATTGCCTTTCAATTAATTGTGCTATTTCCGGTGTTTTTGCTATTTCCTCTCTAAATAACAGTGACACACACAAGCATACAGTGAATTATGAGCCGTTCAAAAAAAAAAAAAACAATTCTAAATGCTAAGATTCTTCTAATTTACTCGATAAGACTTTCAATTTCGAATTTATTACTGTAGTATTAAACTTTATTTCACATTGTTATTATCATACAGTTGACATCAAAAGTTATTATGTACAATATATAAATCAATACTTGTGTAATACAAGAAATATTTGAATATAAAATACAAGTTGGGTACTAAATAAAAAGTTTTAGTAATTTTATCATACAAACTAAGTTCAATGAACCATCGAATTAATGTCAAAGAATGCACTTGGAAATGCACTACAGGATGTCATTTTCTTATTTGCATCGTTCTAATTCATAAAAAGAGTAATAGAGATTTTAAAGAACTAAATGTAGTGCACTCAATTGTTGCTTACTATGAGATAAAACAAAATTTTACAATACATTAAAAACTAAAGAAACATTTCATAATAGTAGGCGTTAGAATATTAATAGAAGTAATACTTATATCTATTCAAGCAGCAAAATACTTCAATTCACTAAACAATGCATTATTTCATGGAAAAAAAAAAGAATTCATTATTCAATGAAAAAGTTTTAATCATAGAGATGAAAAATGAATAGTCTAATACAAAATGAATAAAACAATAAATACTAGTATGATCATTATGCTATATACACATGAGCAAGATGTATGTAAATATTGTTTATTTCCATTAAATCATTGTGACTTCTCATGAACTTATAACGATAATACTATGTTTCTCTTTTTTTTTTTCTTAGTATCCAAATTTCTATTTATTCATTGTATTTTATATTCAAGCATTTCTCTCCTATTAAACAAGTATATTTATATAGTGATTCCTCAAATTATTCAACTTTTTTTCCACTATCATAAATACTAATAAGAATCCAATTAATGATTTTTTGTAGAGAATTTATATTTCCAATAAGAATTTTTGAAGATGAAAAGAATCGCTAGTTCTTCAAAGATAGAATCTCTAAAAACCAAAAATCAAATTTTTCATCTCCGGTAATTCGATTTGGATTGTCAAGAATTATAGAACAAATAATTCTCTATAAAAATGAAATATCATCCAGCTGTTTACAAGGTCTTTTGACCGAGATACATCAATCTTACGGAAAGTACCAAAGCCTTTATTTCGTATACAAATATACTTTTTGTGTCTTTAATAAGATTAATGTATCTCGATCAAAAACTGTCGTAGAAAGCTGGAAGACGTTTTATTTTGTAGATAATTGTTTACTCTATCATTCTAGATAATTCAAATAGAATTCTCGGAGATTAAAAAACTTACATTTCAATTTTCCAGAAATCTGATTTTTAAAAAACTAGCAATCATTTTTCATCTTCAAAAATTTTTATTAGAAATAAAATTCTCTACTATTTAAATTCTTATTAGTGTTTATAGTAGTGGAAAAAAAAATCGTAAATAAATCTAATTGAATAATTTTCGTATTGACTGTATAATACTTAATCTTCGCTATTACATATTAAATTATTCTTGTATAGTTTTAATACATAACTTAAAAAAATAAAAAGTGATACGAGACTTTCCCTATTGACTAAATATTTTGATTATTGTTTAATTTCAAAATAAAAAAAAAGATTAATAATATCTCTTTAATATACAAATTATATTTATCCTATAGGTATTAATCATCATGAAAAATAAAATATTATTTTATCGATAGAAAAATTCTTCGATTTAGAATTTCTTTTAAAACTAAAATTGAAATCTTACTTTATCCTGAACTTGAATACTGACACATCCCCGATACAAATAAGAGTTATCTCATTGACAACACTACTCATACATCATTCTATTTACTCACTGGAGTAGCCATTAACAGGTATGTCGATAGATATTATTTGACATTTGGTATAATGTCTAATGATAAAACTTATCGAAAGACTAGAATTATATGATGAATTAAATTTCGAATGTAATTTCTTTTCTGATGAAATATGATTGGTAATTTCCATAGCCTATTCTAATTCAATATAACAAACTTTTATTCTTTGCGACCTCTATATATGATAAAATTCAATTTTTTTTTTCTATTAATATTACTTGGAAATTAATATAACAATAGAATATTTTACTATTATAATTTTAAATAAATAGTATACTCTTGTAGGTAAGTTGCTATAGATAATATTAATTATGTTCATTATGTGTTTTTTTTTATCGACATTATTTTTGAGAATAATTAAATTTTTTATTGAAAAATTTAATTTCCGATTTTTATAATTTTCGAAAAAAGAAAATTGAATAATTAAGTTTTTGTTTTGTTTTTTTTTAATATATTAAATTTATTGATTAGTTAATTTTACAGGTATTTATAATGTTATATCAATTATTCTTATATTAATCAAGTTATTTTGAATAGTTTATTTTTTAATTTACTTAGATATAATGATTAACGAAAGTGTTCTTTCACAACTCTTTTTTTTCTTTTAGCTTCTTATTATAAATATAATCATCCTATAGAAAAAGCATCTCCACATGTATATAGTCGATTAATAGAAGAAAAAACCAGACTTGATTTTTTTTTTCTTTTAAAGTAATAATAATTATCATTGATATATATATATGTATATTTCTTTCTTTTTTCCTTATGCAATAAGATTCATATAGATCTATCGTTTCATGTGATAATACTGTTGTAGAACAATTCATTTATTCATTCAATTTTTTTAAGTCACTTTGGGAGTTCGATGATCACGACTTGGTTGTCATCGTCGTCTTCTTCATATACACCTACACATACACTCTTTTAATCGAAATGAGTTTAAATACAGCACGCACACACTTGACTGACGCTCATCAAATGCATGTCATCCATCCGAACAGTGAATGTGATTACACCAGTCACTATATTCTGTCGATCTACCTTATTCTTTCGTGCTACACGCACATACACATGCATTCATATATATATATATATATATATATGAGTATCTTTGATTGCTATAATGACTAGATGAAATTTCTGGCGGATACAATCCACAGGATCTATATCGTTCAAGCGTGAAATAGAAACATTACTCATTAGGTCGACT